TAATTGGTCAAACATTAATTAATTTGTGAGATTGTGTCGAACTGCATTTTTTGCCTACTCGGTCATCTAAACGAACGAAAAATGTAAAAAAGATTCTATGTGAGTGTATGTGTGTATATTGCATTCCTCCACACACAAAATTGTATACGCTTATTGTGGGATGGAGTATATACTTTTTCTAAATATGGTTAATAAATATAACCACTTGGGATCTATACATTAATAAAGTTTGTGTTGCTTTTCATCAATAACAAAATTGTGCTGATTTTCAATGTTTTTACGTCCTTCTCTCTTGCGTAAGGATGGAATATGAGAGTATTTAACACGCCAAATACAAAGAGAAAATTCTATTTTGAACACTGAGTTTGTGTGTTTGATCTGACTTCAAACCCAAACTATGCAGTTATCTAAATTAAATCTTAAATTTTCTAAACCTATTAAAATGAACCCTAGTTCTGTTTTGAAAAATGATTTTATTTTGGGACATCTAAAAAAATTTGAAAAACTTCATGGATGTAAAGAGTGTTACGGAATGATAACCCGCACAAAATCATTATAAAATACAACTATTTATGTAATGTCAAAGAATTTAGACATTCTAATACTTTGGTTAACAAAACTGCTACGTGCGATGTGCAGAATAATCAAGTTTGTATTGCCTTCCATGTTCTATACGGCTTCCCCTGTTGCATAATTTGAGAAATGGGAGAGTCTTTTACGTGTTAACAATATAGCAAAAAGTATATATTCAATATTTGGATTATTGTGCATGGTCTAGCTTCAACCCTATTCCATGAAAATGTCTGAATTATACCTTAAACTTTCTAAAACTGTTAAAGATCAACCCTAGATTTGGTTGGAAAAATAATTTTGTATTATGGGCCTTAAAAGTGAAAAGGTTCATTTTCTAGAGAATGCTATGAAATAATAACCTACAAATTCATTTTCATTTTTTGTTTTTGTTTTATAAAACATAGATGATCTTGTTGGCTGGTGATATTTACCATGTTTCACCTTTATAGCATTCACTCTTAAATTGTTTTAAAACCTTAAACTCTTAATTGGGTGGTTTTGCATGTTTGAAGTTCTAGAATCTAAAAGCTCGTGAGTGCGGGAGATGCTAGAATGGAGAACCAACAAATATTCAACCAAAAGAAATACCAATATAACTTTTATATACAAATGTTCAATAGGAATTTATTGACCTCCCCATTCTTGCACATGACATGAAATTGTGCACATTGTAATTTGCATTTCCTGCATACTATATGGTTTTTTTTCATCCTTTTAAAAATACTAAAATAGAACTAACTACCACTATCTAAAACTAGGTTAGCATTGTTAAATTTGACCTATAACTATAATTTGAGATTTAAATAGGCTTTGTTACTAATACGTTGTCTACATTGTTTTTACACCGAGCTGTCCTATGTAGTTGATGAAATGTACTACGTTCGAGATGGGAAATGGCACTTGTTTGGTAATTAACTTCAGCGGATCCCAGGATGCTATGCACACATATTTTTGTTGGTGTTGGTAATCTATGTTACTCTGTAAGGAAAACATACGATGTACTGCTATTTGTAAGAAGAAATTTCTAAACTCTTTGCAATCTATGTTCTTATTCCTATAATTATCAGGTGGTTGTCATGGTAGTCCATGTTGCAGTATCCGGGAATACTTGAAGATAGGCATCAACAAGCTGGAGCGAGTCACCAAGAGATTTACGTCCCAACATAGATGACGACTTAGCAGTAAACTTTGTTACATGTGAGTTCTCAATGTGTTAGTAGCCTATTGCTTCTTTAAATTTTCTCTTGTAGTTTCGAGACTTGCTGGACTTTGTAATAATTGGTTGTGTGTATCTCTAGATGCAAACACTGGGGGATGTTCTTCCATTCTCCAGCCAACATTAGAGATGGGACTGGAATGGGGATCAATGGCTCCGATGGGAACCTTTACCATGAGGAGCTTTACCACTGAACTTTTGTTGCTGAAACGATCAACACGAATATGTATGTACAAGCTCCTTGGTTTCAGCTTTGATTTTCGGTTTGAGCTTTTTTTCGCCCTAGGCCGAGATGGCCGAATTTTGGCCATTTTCAAAAATTTCGGCTGAAATTTGACCAAATGTTGACTGCAATTTGACTTAAATTTGATTAAAATTTGCTAAATTTGAGCAATTTCGGCTTAAATGTACTTTTCGCCTCAGGCCGAAATGGCCGAAATCCATTTTTTGCGGCCGAAAATCAAAACACTTTCAACAAGGTTTTTTTCTGAGACGGAGGCCCCAAGGACCTATGTATGTCTGTAAGGGTATTTCTGTAAAGATTTGTGCTACTTA